CGGTGTAGCCGACGTCTGACCCTCACAGGTCCCTGGGGCGGTGGTGTAGCCGATGTCTGACCCTCACCGGTCCCTGGAGTGGCGGTGGAGCCGACGTCTGATCCTCACCGGTCTGTAGGGCGACGGTGGAGCTGACATCTGACCCTCATCGGTGTCCTCACCCCCTAGGATGAGCCCAGCAGCGGCAATGCAGCTAGCGGCGGTGTCCCGCTGGAGCGGCCGGGCATGGTCGGCCTCCGCGCACAAGATCATGGTTGTGTCGTTGAACTCTCTCTGGATATGTGTTCTCCGTAGCCGGACTGGCATTGGGTCTGTGTTCTCTGTGTTCGTACCACCCATGAGCCCGCGATCTATAGTTTGTCCCCGCCGGACACGATCGTCCCATTGCCAAGTCTCAATGGGCGCAGATCGGACTGACCTAGCCGTTCGCATGGCCACCTTGCACGATCACGGGGACGGACGGAGGGCTCACCTGTCCTCTGCACCGAAGTAGTGCAGATGACATGCTAGCGCACACATGTTGGCTCAAAACACACTCAGGTACTGGCTTTGGAAATATGTGACGTATTCAACGTGATGTGCATTATGACGCGACAATACACGGGGTGACGTCATAGACAATTCGAAATGTGTGGTGCTTACCATTGAGGCGGCACCAATACTAATGCTCACAAACAGCCCTCGCGAGTCAAACATTGGGCTGGAGGCGGTCGAGCACAATGCGGGCACCACATTTTAATGCGGGATTATTGGTGGCTCCACGAGAAAAGCTATTTGGCCACGGCAACTATCGAGTTCTGAAGTTCTCAACTATCAAGCTCAAGTTCTCTTCAAACACATTAGTAACTCACCATGGGAGCAGCCAATATTTTAGGAACAATGATGCATATGTGCACGGAGGACGAACGTGTCACGTGTCTGGTAGTGAACCAATCGTCATGCGCTCCGTTTCATCGGCGCATGCGTGGTCTGGCTGCTCGTTGTTTGCTGCGAGCTAATTTGAAACCCGCTTATCAAGATCGCAGCCGGGATGCTGACAGCTCATTGGTCCGTTCGAGTGATCCCTGTGACTGCCGATACCAGCTTTTTTTGCCGATTATCTGCCTCACCCGCCTGCACCTAGCCAATGGCTTATCTGCAAGGCTTCGTGGAGACCGCCAGCGAGTCACTTAAAGCGGGTTTTGCACAGCTTGATGCGCTCAAAGGAACAATATTGCAGCTCACTCTGAAAGATTGAGTCACAACAGCCCGCACTGGGAACGGCGGGAGGGGGGGGGGGGGGCAGAATCTGTCCATCTCCTGCTTTTTGTGGCGTTTTCCACTAACATACACTGAACTGATCTGAATCGGCTTGGCCATATGTGTTTTATGCGGACCACCGCGCGGCACCGTGTGCCAGACAGTATGATAGTGGAGTTCAGATTATTGATTATTTTGATATATCTTTCAAGGCAGTGGCTGCCTTAAATCATGCTTTTTCCAGTGAACCTTGGTAACCCATGACTATAAATACAGGCTCGAGACCTTGAGTTTTGTCGGCATTAGCAGAGCTCGCCTCATCAATTTGTTTAACCTGTACTTTCTGGCAAACTGAAGGTCGATTATTTTCATCACGAGGCTGCTTAACCCACAACAGTTCTCTGAAATCACAGCACGAACGAATGGCGTTTGTGAGTGCGAGTACATTCTCTTCAACTTGTCGACGATGCAGCTACTCCGTTGTAGGTGGGCCACATCAGCAAGATTTGCCGCATATCTCTCGTACTCTGTGCGATCTATTCGATCTCGCTTGCGGTTGCAGCGATTTTTAAAATTAAAACGACCATAATGGAATCCAGTAGAATCGTCACAAGCGTGAAAAGCACTCACTACGAACATCCTAGCCCTAATATTTTATTAATCAAAAGCAAATAAACTCCCACCTTATGGATTTATACAACTATGCGACAATAGAAAATAGCTGTCGGCTCATTTTTGTTTCTTGCTTTTTTCCACTTATGAGAAACTGCTTCACGGCAAATATGTTTGCGCTTCTCGCAGTCTTAGCCTGAAGCGTGCGGTAATACCACAGACGTAGTCCGACGCGAGCTGCTGGCAGAAAAAGCGACTTTCTCACTGTGTGTGCGCGTGAGGGGGGGGGGGGGAGAGAGATTTGGCCACTCGCTGTGCCAATCACAACTGTTCATTGGCGCTGACGATATTCATACCAGTAGTAGTGTCACTTTTAAGCCCACAAGCCACCAACGCTTGAGTTAAAAAAGCCCAAAAGTGGTACCTTTAGTTCACTAGAGATGACGACGGGCCACAGCAGATTCTGGCATCGTCAGGTTCGCGAGGTACGCTACAAAAACTTTGAGGCTACAAGGAAAGAAAGGAATGTAACGCTGTGCCAAAACATTGGCAGCGGTATTGTATTCGGAGTCACACCGCGGCTGGCCACTCCACACAAAACGGCGAACTGCCGCACGCAACGCCGACAGGGAGACTCACTCTACACGCCCCGAGCAGCACCTCTTATACCCCTTTCAAGCCCACCCGCGACACCCGCAACAACAGGATGTCCACCGATTCCGTCCCAGTCGCCGTTGGTGCGTGCTCCGCGTTGTCCGGGTTGTCAACGACTGCACCAGAGGCCTCCTGGTGTGACCGGCCCGCGGCCAGGCATAGGGGTCCGTCGTCCTCCTCGTCACTGGCGTCACAGCGTGATGCATCGCTATACCGAGGCCGCAGGTCCCGCACGTACCACGGTACGCCGTCCACCTCGGCGACCTGCGATGACACGATCCGCGTGACGGTGCCCTGACGAGATGTTGCCGTACATCGCGGGTGGCGTCCAGCTTTGCCATGTTGATGCGATCTGCGGCAGATCCCTCAGGTCGCAGTCAACAGTCATCTTCCATCACGCCGCCGTCCGGCGTCTCGACGACGCCACCGGCCGCGATCGAGCTGGCGTCGGTCCAAACGATCGCGCAGTCTCCGGCTCAGCACCACCGGCCGCGCGCCGGGTCTACAGCTGACAGGCGCTCACACACGTGTCCGATCTGGGCGTGCAGGATCTCGTCATCCGCGACGTCATCCCAGCCGTCGGTCGCTGCGTTTGCACGCCTTTTCAGCCACGCAGCGGCTGGCTGTGGCCGGCTGCTGCCCCACAGGCCTCGGGAGGCCTACCCGTCGCTACACCGGCCGCGAGAGACATCTCCACCGCCCCACCGGCCACGGGAGGCTGCTCCACCGCTCCACCGGCCGCGGGAGGCTGCTCCACAGCCCCACCGGCCGTGGGAGGCTGTTCCACCGCTCCACCGGCCGTGGGAGGCTGTTCCACCGCTCCACCGGCCGCGGGAGGCTGATCCACCGTTCCACCGACCGCGGGAGGCTGCTCCACCGCTCCACCGACCGCGGGAGGCTGCTCCACCGCTTCACCGGCCGCGGGAGGTTGCTCCACCGCTTCACCGCCATCTGCAGCACTAACGCTGGCGCCCGTCCACTTCCAGTCGACCGTCTACGCCTGCTGCTCGCCGCTAAACCTTGCCGTAAAGCCGGCTGCATCTATCTCCATGCCTCCTGGGTCACATCTGCCGCCGCACAGAACCGCACGTCTGTCGGCGTCCGCACGCTGATACCTCCCAGTGCAGTGATGCTATTCATGCCGAGCACGACGTCAACACCCAGCGGTCGGTCGGGCACTACCAGGACCTCGAGCATCGCTCGACGGTCGCTGGCGGCCGTCCACTTCCAGAC